CATCAGGTCCAGCCCCCCTGCACTAGGCAGGAAAGACTACTCCTCTTGAAGAAAGAGTCTCCTCCTCCTATCTGCTCTTGAAGATTTCCAGGTAGGTGATTGCAGCACCTCTGGAGGGAGTTTCTCTCACAGTCTGGACACTAACTGTGAAGAAGTTTTTCCTAGTGTTAATCTTGAAACGGTTTTCCAGGAGCTTGTGGCCACTTTGGGTGGCTCTTCTCTGGATTCTCTCAAGCTTTTCTATGTTCTTGTTGAAGTGTAGCACCCACTTAAGTTGCCATACATTCAGATTTATTCGTGTATTATGAGAAATGTGCTACAAGAATAGTTTTCTGAATTAATAAGTCCTCAAAAAAAATTCTACTAACATGCTAAATTATGCTTTTTTATACATAGAATCAGGGGAATTTTTAACTCGTGGAGCCAGACTTTCTAAAAACAGCACAAGAAGTCACACACTGCATTAAGGTAAGCATTTATTTTATTTTCAGTCTTTGCAAGGAATGGGATGCTGGCTATTTATTTTTCTAAATATCAATACTTTCAGTTTGTTGCCCAAAAAGGCTTGGCCTTATTACTTTTTATTTTTGTTTTGCAGCAGTCTTCCAACATTCCTCAGAGTGTAGCTTCTCAGGTTAATTTCAACAACTGGAAAAAACTGAAAACATTCTGTAGGTTTAATCAACTAATAAAAATAACATTACTGTAAGAATGCCATCTGCACATTTTGATTGAATTCTATTTTTCATGTATATGTTGCCTGACACATTCTTGGACCCCATCTAATAAATGCTGCAGCACAAAAATCAAAAGTGTCTCAATGAAATCTGTTGATAAAGAAGTTTGTTCAGGTTACCAAGAGAGCTTGTAAATTCTCCATCCTTGGAGGTATTTAAAGCCTGGATAGACAAAGCTTTGGCTGGGATGATATAGTTGGGGCTGATCCTACTTTAAGCAGGGGGCTGGACTAGATGACCTCTTGGGTTCCTTCCAACCCTAATTTTCTATTATAACACAAAGTTGGGAACATTCTCAATAAAGTCAAGAGTAAGACTATCATGCTGGAAGAACTGAACCACCCTAAGGACTGAAGTAATAGAAATGGGAAATAACGGTACAATTGCAAAGTTGTGCATTTTAAAGTCTAATAATAAGAGTTTCTAGCTTACCATTTGGAAATGAGAGAAAAGGAGAAAGACTTGGAAATACCAGTTTATCACAGGAAAAAGAGAGACCATCACTGCAATGGGGTTGTGAAAAGGCAAACAGAATCTTAAAGGGTATCCAACGAGAAAACTCCAGTAGAGATAGGAAGATATTAATGTCACTGTCCGAGGTACTAGTGAGACCCCACCTGGAACATTATAACTCTGGTCATCTGTGTTCAAGAAATATAAATTCAAATTGGAACAGTGTATAAGAAGGGTTATTAGGTGATCTGGGGAAGACAAAACTAAAAGACCTTGGCTTGTTCAGCATAGCAAAAAAATCAAGGCTGAGTGGATACGAATGCTCATATGCTCTCTTTTATGAAAGCATGTGGGTAGCCATCCTATTCCTTCTTCAGATATGAGCCCTCCCCGTTTTGCTACAGTAAACAAGCTAGAAATAAAAATAAACCAGAGGAGTATTTATCAAGGAGGGAAAAGAGCTATGTAAACTAAATGGCAAATCTTGACACGAGAACAAATAGGCATAAACTGGCCAAGGATAAACTTAGACTTGGAAATGAGAAGATTCTAATCCTCAGAGCAGTGACGATCTGGAACAGTCTTCCAATGAAAGTACAGCGAGCCAACCACGGGACTAATTTTAAGACCGTTCAACCAGTTTATGAAAGGAATGATACACTATGGCTGAATGCAACAGCCTGGGTCCCAACTCAGCATCCCAAGAGATCCTGTACTCCTGTGAATAAGTCTATTATCATCTAGTAAAAAAATAAAAAAAAATAAATACATTGTTCACTACTGCTAACACAAGGAAATAATATAGATGTTAAGAAGCTGAATAAAATTTAAGCAATTAGGTTAAAATTAAAATTTGCATAATTCTTTTCATTCACCCTAGTTAGCAAATGAAAGTACTAAATCTAGTATTTGGGTTATAGTTAGTTGTAAATAATGATCCAATTGTGTTTCAGTGAAAATGAACTGTTGGGGGAGGAGGGGGAGGGAAGAGAGAATCAGTGCAAACAGAAAACAATGAATTATTTAAATCAAGGTTTTCACCTTGATGATTTTAATCAATCCCCCACAAACAAAGGAAGGAATCATGAAACTAGAAGCAGCTGAAAGGGGGTCCCCCAAAACTTGAGTGGTGGGGATAAAGGAAGACAGGAAAGATAAGTAAACACCCTACTCTGCTTCCTTTTGGCTATGATTTAACATTTCTTTCGAAAAGTTTAGCATACATGAATAATTTTGCAATAAGATTCACAATGGGAAGGATGGAGCTCCATGTGAGCAAAGGGGTCTTTCTGAATGGATCTGATTGTACAACCAGGATTATTGTTGTTACTATTAGGTCTCTTTCATGCTTTATTTTTCTGTTTTTTTCTAGAAATGTTCACGAAGTGAGAAGACATCCTGAATAAAATAAAACCCCATGATAGCAGTTAAACTGAAATAAAAACAACATATTGCCATATTATCCATTATCAACTTGTGTAACTATAGCACTGGTGGCTATGTTGCTGGCATGAATCCTCAACTTCCATTAGCAGTAAAAAAAAAAAAAAAAATCTATAGCAAAAACTGAGATGTCA